CTAGTGTAGCTAAGAATATCTTGTAAACTGCTGTTCAGAGAACATAAATGAATATAGAATGTAATGTTATGAGTATCAGAAGTTTCCATGGACACAGATTTCTTGAATGTATCAGTTAGGTGGGTTTGGAAGTAACTAAACTCCGCTGACATCTTTAATTCTGTCTTACACTGCCTGCTCCGGGCTGAGCTGAGCAGTTGCTCCACCTCTCAAGCAGAATAAGAGCCCACATTGCAACTAGGGTGTGAGCACTGAATAATTTTTTAATAAACATGTACTTAATTGCCTAAGAGGATTTTCACCATTTCCTTGAGAAAAATAAGCCTCTGACAGCCCCAGCATGCTGAATCCCCAGTTCTGGTAGAATAGCTCTGTATTTTCTCATATTCTTCTCCTGCTAGTCCAAACTCATGTTTTAAAAGTATTAGTTCAATATATTTATTCAAGCTATTCATTATAGAAAGACTCTGGATTCAAATTGCTTTGAAACTGTCTTTAATTTGTCATTTTTCTCTAACAAAACCCCTAAACTGGAACTCCTTGATAGTATATCCTGATATTTTATGAGAGAAAAGTGATGTATAACTTACATTATTAGAATGCACAAATCCATATTCAAAAAACGTTGGTGCTAATTTAAAATACCAGTGATTTAACAATTTGTACAGCATATTCTTTAGGCTTAAATAACATATTTAGGTCATGAATACTTTTTTTATCATGATTTCCTTGTTTAACCCTTTCTTACATACAAAATACAGAGAGAAGCTTTAAAAACAATACTTCTAACTATTCTTTAAAAATAAAGCTACAATCTTTCAGACCATATCGTCTATAAATTTAACACGTATAACTTGTATTGTTCAAAATATGGCTGTGTTTTATTTCAAAACATTAAGAACACTTACCTGGTACACATCAGCATTGTGGTTTCTGGAGAACGGGTAAAATGCTCCCAGTTGCATCCACCTTCTGCAAAGCTCTTCTGTGGTTTCACCCACAAATCCACAGATATCTGCTCCCACCTAAATAACAAATGTATCTATTATTTATTGTGTTCAGATCATCACATTTGCCTGCAGCCTCAAATTTTATGTCTTAACTCATTATCTTGAATCATCTATTATCTGGAATTTTTTTTTTCTTTTGCAGATTTTGGCCAGGGCTGGGTTTGAACCCACCACCTCCGGTATATGGGGCTGGCACCCTACTCCTTTGAGCCACAGGCTCCACCCTGGATGGATGTGTTATCTGGATATGTTATCTGGATGTGTTATCGCCTTTATGTACTCTTCCTTAGTGCCATCTTTTATTGTCCATTTTTGCCCCATGCTTGTCTGTAATTGCCTGAATTTACATAACTTGTTCTTCATTGTATCTTTAAACATTTTCTAGTATCATGTTTTTATTTTTTATTATCTCTTTTGATAGGATATTTAATTTAATGATGAAAATTAAATCATTGTAATAAAATGTGTTGCTTCTTAATCCAAATTCACCTCCCTTGATTAGATTCCCCCTAAGATATATTACCATAGTGGTAACATCGTACAAAATTGTGAACTTGTATATTTCAGGTTAAATTTATGAAATACATTTTTCCAAATAAAATGGAGCTTTGCCCAGAGTGTACCTATTTAAGACTGCATTACCATTATCCCAGAAAATACTTTCCAGAATTTAATATTTATTACTTACAAAAATTACTTTACTTTTCTACATGATGCATATATAACAATATACAGTATTTTTTGCATGCTGATTAGTTTTATATATAGGCATTTCATGAGCATTACAATGCAATTTGCTTTTCTCTGAAATTTAATTACAATAATATTGATCTAGTTCTCTATTGTATTATAACTTGGGGCTGTAAAAAATGGTTCGATGAAATTATTGTCCATGTTGAGCCTCCCTTGAAAATGCAAAGTCTAAAAGCTCCAGAATCTAAAACTTTTTGAGTAGACATGATACCAGAAGTGGAAAAGTTCCCCATCGGAATCCATATGAGGGTTACATGCAAAACACAGTCAAAACCCTTTCATCCACAAATTATTGAAAAATATTGTGTAAAATTTTGCTCAGGCTATGGTGTAAGGAGTACATGAAGCAAATGACTTCTGTATTTGGAGATTAGTCCCTGACCACCTCCTTGAGTTGACCTATTTTTCATAGAGTGGACGTGCACTGCATGTACATATCAGCACAGCAGGCTGAGTTCCTCATGTTGGCCAGCTCTGTATGTTGACCAGTTTGTTACAGTCCCTTGGGTGGTCAACTTCCAGAGCTTATACCCTGTATACCCTGAAAGAAATCCAAAATCAGAAACACTTCTGGTACCAGAAAAGATAAAGATATCCTTTATACTCAAACTGTATGTTTTCCTTGTAAATATATAAAGAAAAAACTTTTCTCTTACTCTATACTACATATACATGGAATTATTTTTCTGATTTATTAGAAATGGGAATAATTAAAACAAAACAAGTATAACACTTCACAAGCACTATCACAGTACATGAAATTCTTACTACCCATTTCCTTACCAACTCCTAACATATTCAGACTTAACTAATACCACCCATCTACATGAAACTTATTTTATCAAGGTTTGTATTTGCATTTCTCTGATTACTAGAGAATTTGAGAACTCATTTATATTTACAAGGAATCCATATGGGTTTTTCTTTCTATAGAATTGTTTCTATATCTTACTAATTTTTCTATTCTTATTTTTTACGGATTTACAGTAAGCACTTGAAATTAAGTATTAGTTATTTATTGACTACATGAACTAAAAATATCATTCCCCTGTATGTAAGTTTATTTCATTTTAACTTCTTTCAAATTATCTTTTGATGGACAGAAGTTTTCATTTTTTTGAGGTCAATTTATATACATTTCCTTACTAATCTGTGTTCTTTGCATTCTGTTTAAGACATTAGTACTCTAACCTGAAGTCATAAATTTAAACTCTCGTAAGTTCTTCTAAGATAGATAATGTTTAATTTTTAAACACAGGTCTTTCATCTATCTAGGATAGATTTTTATATGTGGTTTGAGAAATAACTCCATTTTATTTAGATTTTCAAATGGATAATCAATTATTCACAAGAATAGTTGATACATTCCTCACTGATCTGCAGCGATGGGGTCATAATTAAACAAGTTTCTATATATGCATGGAGTTGTGTCTGATTTTGCTATATTTAACCTGTTTACACATCCATAGCCCAGTGATCATTGTATTGATCACTACAGCTTAAACTAGCAAAACAAACCCTCAGTTAAAAGTGTATCATCTTTGACATGAAGTATAGAATTATCTATTTGTGTTCCTCAAAATCCCTTTTATGGCTTAGATTGGAATTCCACTAAATTTGCAAAACATTTTAAGGGGAAATGCATATTCCTATTTTATTAAGCCTTCTTATTATTGACACAGAATGCCTTCAATTTTTGTTATCATTTAAGTATTTCTCAAAAAATTCCTACATTATTTTTAATATTTACTCCTTATTATTAATTATTGTCACAATAAATAAATGACACTTTATATTAAAATAAATTCTAATATCACTTTTTATATAAAATGTGACATAAATCAGTCCATTTGATTAAAATTTTCAAAGAGCAACTTTTGTATTATGAATTTTAAATTTTTTCTAGAAAATTTGCTTTTATTACATGAATTTCATTCTTTATTTTTTTTAACCTCCATCTTTCCTTAGGTTTATTCTGCCTTCCTTCTTCTGTGTTTTAAATTCATGCACTTGATTTATTAATATTTAGCCTTTCTTTTTTTTTTTAACTTACATATAAAAGACTGTAAGTTTTCCTTTAAATACTAATTCTTTACTGAAATTCCACAAGATTAGATGAGCAAAATTTTTAACACTCAGGTCTAAGGTTCTTTTTAACTCAACTCAGTTCATTTGTTGACTAATGAAAATTTGATAATATATTTTGTTAAATTTTCATATGCAAGACTGAGTGTGTATTGGGTTGGTTGGCTTTTATTGCCATTTTATTGTGCATATGAAACAAAAAAAAAACGAGTCACTGTAATTTTTAATACATTTTACA